TACCAACAAAAGTATCTCGAATACAACGAACTGGAATAAAAGATGTGATCTCTAATCAAACATCAGAAACAACAATTTCTTCAGTTTCATCAACTGTAGCGTCCATGGTCTCGATTGCAAGTAAACGAAAAGCAAAGGGGCGGCCCAAGAAAGGTAGCACAGCTGTTCATTTGGTTGAAATCTCAATGAATATGCTCGTGTTGTATATTATACTTTGTTGAGAAAGAAAAATGTGAGATGCACGCTGAAAACGATTTGGTGACCAAAAGTATGTTTTTGTGGTGGTTATTTGCATCTAAAGGTGTTTGGGGATCAGAAGTGTATTTTGTCTAGTTAAAGTCTAAAATACTAGATCGAATGACGATCGTAAAAACAAAGGGTTTATCATCATTCACTATGTAAAGTCAATCAGAAATAAAGAGATATGAATAATATATTAAGTGCTATAATAATACATTGTGTATTTGTTTTATTGATATTTTGAACATTGATTTGGTTTTTAGTTTTCATTATTAGCTTATTTATCCCGTATCTAATCGATTTTGACCTAATCATTTATAGCTGAACTGTCTAATGAATTTTATGGGTCAATGTAATGAAAACTAATGCAGTTTCTTAAATGCTAACTAATATAATATTTATGTGGATTTTCTTTTTGTATAACGTTACTTCTAAAAAAATTGAAAGTAAATCATATTTAAACCCGAAAGGATTGCTGATGAGGGTGTTCAATAGTAATAACCATACAGCTACTAATAAGTTGCCATAGGCGGTTCTATTTTCATTCTAAATATTTATTTGAATCACAAAAGTTTAACGTTTAATAGTTAAATGCGCATGATCAATGTTGTTGTGGTTACCCATCATTATTGGATAAAAATCGTTTTTTGTCTTCATAAACTATTAAATCTATTAGAATTACTATGCACTCTAATGTACTATTTCTACTTCAATTAGCATTTATATTTGCCGATGGTGAGTTATAAGATCATACAGAAAAGTTATTAATTCATCTTCAAAATAACGTGAATATTGTTGCGTTCTAGACGATAAATTATTATTGAATAATCTTCAGTGGCCGTCAACTATTTATGTTCCATTAGACGAAACCTATTTGCTTGATTGTTCATCATGGAAAAGACAACAATATACAAAAGAGTTTAGTTGGAAAGTCTACTTTAATTCAGGCAAAATTGTCATATTAAAAAATCCTGTACGTTTAGTTGGTTTTCAGAATACACGTGACGGTTACTATGAATGTCATTCAGAATTGGTAAAACGAGGTGTTTTCATCTTTTCAAATGGTATACGGTTATCGATGACGTATGCAATCGATAAACGTCTCTCTTTTCTCTGTGTAGCTGCACAAGCAATTAATCGTACATGGACACAAACAATTTATCATGAACGTGGCACGAATGTATCGGTTTCATGTCAACCAATATATTTTAATGGCGGTTTCAATGAAGAATTTATTGAAATAATTGATATCAATAAAACCATTCGTTTCACTACAAATTCAATAATAATTAATGGATTAGAAAGCACTACGTATCTCATATGTAAATTGTACATCAGCACACCGGTGATGGGAGTACGCGTTCGAACAACAATACCATTTGGTATAGAACATTTTTAAAAATGTATTTAATATAAAAAAAGTGAATACAAGTTTTGTTTAGGATCTGATGATCACCTAACAACAAGTAAACCACTTCATAATCTATTTTTGCGAGCTGCTACACCAGAAAGATTTGCACATCGTATTGCATTTGAAGGTCAGTCGAATGTACGTTATCTAAAATAATCTAGTACTGAATGAGAAATATGTCAATTTTAAGGTGATACAGTTTATTTTCGTTGTCCAACAGAAACCATTGATAATAGAACGAATATTGAGTGGAAATTCTTATCATGGAATTCTTATGAAATTAAAATGATACCAACAATTTATAATCAAGATGCTAAAATATCATCGGTACAAATTGAAAACAGCGGATTGTATTCATGTCTTAATAATAACGATATTAAACAACAAATTATACTAACAGTTATAGGTAAGATAATGATCTGTGACATTCTAAATAGTACAAATATTGTATTTTTTAAGATGGTCCAAAAGCACCTGATGGTATCTATGATAAAACAATCAATATAAAATATGATTCAAGATATTTTATATGTTGTAATCTTAATGCATATCCATATCCAACATATTCTTGGGAAATGACTACAGGTGATGAAGATACGCAACCGTATGTTTGGTGTCATAAACGATGTTGCTGGTTACTCATCAATTATAAAGATGTCATTTGTACATCAGCAAACAGATTTGGATTGGCAAAATATTATATTAGATTCATTGTAAATGGTAGTGGAAGAAATTAGTGTTGAAAATACTAATCTCACCAATATTCTTTTTTTTAGATGGTGGAAGTACTTCTTCAATAATAAATCTTAATATTTTACCATCATCGATGACGATTCGAAATGCCGATAAATCAATGCCACAAAATGTATTCATGTCTCCAAATGACGTATCGAAGGAGACATCGGCTGAAGTTGATCCTAGTTACATACAACGACCGGACATTGTAGCAAATACAGATCAAGACAGTCAGCCGACAACAGAATCTAAACAAAACAAAACTATCCATAATACGTTACTTTTGGATAATCAACCGATCGATGATAAACTAAAAGTAATCACCAGCACCATCATCGAAGAGGCAATTAGCACTGAACAACTACTGGATGATATTTTATTAAAGCGTCAGGATCTAAAAATATTAGTAACACCACCAGAAACAGTCATACCTGATAAAGCAATCAATTGGGGCATTATACAAGACGAACATCGTTCTATTCGTCCGTTATTTCGTGCATCAACATCATCGACTATCAGTTCTGTTGTACAACGAGAAGATGTTAACGAATTGCATGAGATCATCGACAATCTTTACTTGAAAAATGAACAACAAAGCTCAGCTGCTACAGAGTTATTAGCAGCAACAGAGCCACATTTTTTTGAAGATATGATACAAACTAAAGAAGAAAAATCATCATCAACTGTTGCTAGTATTCAAAACCCAACAAAAACAGCAGCTGAAACTTTCGTTCTCCCCGAGCATGTACAAAATGTAAATAAAATTCATAAACTTCTTCTTAGTTCAACAACAACTGCAACATCAAATACATTACAGACTGTTAGTCAAGACTGGTTTACAGCAGATATAGACAAGGATAAAATATATCAAGAAAATGCTAATTGGCATAAAGTTCACAAAATCCATAATGTACAAACAAGTGATAATAGTATTGTCACAATTCCATTCGAAAATCTCGAAGTATCTACTAGTCACGAGCACGAAGATATTGTCAAACAAGAAACAGCGAATGATTATTCAAGAATTCTTGTTAGAAACAAAGTTCAAGGACCACAACAGTCAGATATCATATCTCTCCATGAATTTTCTAAAACATTAGGACAACAAAATCAAAAAACGACAAATACAATACCGATAAACATGTTAGAATTAATGAATAAAGTAGATAGTGAGCAAAAGAAAGAAAAATCGCTTGATCGAGAAATGTATGAACACATGGTCGAATATCATGTTCTACGAGATGAAAATTTGAAAATAGCTGTTGATGTTAAAGAAGAACTTCAATACAAATATAAACACTAAATTTACCTTCTCTTGGCTTGAATATTATTTATTACCAATAAAATAAACCAAACAAAGGGCTTAATATTTCTAAAAAGTATATTGTTAACATTTCTGAATTGCTTGAAAAACAATTCTGAAAAAAAATAACTTTATGCTTTTCTGTAACATCCAACGACTTCACACCGACTTTTGGCGCTACCGATCTGTGAAACATTTTGAAATACGCTTAGCGCCAAAATTTCGTATAACACAAGGTTGTCATTGGGCATACATTCGATAGAGAAAATTGTTCTCTTCCGATCTACGCAAGGCCGAGTTCTCTAGCTTGTGCTGTTTAAGAGCTATAAGCTTTTTTTATATTCTAAATAAGTACTTTTTTCTTCGTACTAACTTTATTTATTCCAAACGTTTCAATCTTTTGCTCAGTGGACGCAAACATTAATTAAATTAATTAAAATTACATAAACAAAACAATTTGAACAGAAAGCTTTAACATGGGGATATTTTTCCCTTTTTATTTTTATATAATATCATCATCATCAGATCTTGCTCTGGGCTGCCAAGGCCGCGGGCGCAGATAAGTCCAACATCACTTTTATCAAGAATACAGGAGAACTAAATGTTTCTTAATAGCGCGATGCTGGAGTATCTTATATACGCGCTGTTTTAATCGGACGGTCGCCGGCGGCCCGAAACCTCCTTTAATTACCCAGGTCGAACGATACGGTCCATATACGGACGGTCTACTGGACGCAGGAATACGGACCGTAACATCATTAAAATAGGGCCGTATACGGCCGTATTTTCACAATATACGGCCCGTAAACGGTACCGTTTCTGGGCACAGTAATACGGGGTCATATACTGTGAAAATACGGCCGTATACGGCCCTATTTTAATGATGTTACGGTCCGTATTCCTGCGTCCAGTAGAAGGTCCGTAATGGATATCCGTTTTGGTCGATCTGGGTAAGCTCGCATCGGAGGACCCTGCGAACATAATGTAATTACTTTGATAGATTATTGAGTTTTTCGCTTGTGCATTAAATGGATAAGCGCACTGTGTGGACTGTTTATTTCCACCGTTTTCTATGTCATTTTTGTGATTTCATACTCGACTTGTCTAGTAGAGACATCTATCTCTATCCCAACGACCAAGGAATTTTAGTACTATCTAATAATTACCTCCCTTTTGATGATTTTCATGAATTTCTCTCTCTCTGTTGTGTTTTTACTCTTGTAACTATGTAAAAAAAAATCATTCAATTTAACGAGAAAATCTGTATTACTAGTTGATTATGCTTTCTTCTTCCACCTCCTTCAAAATTTAGTTCTCTGAAACTGTTCAAAACATACAAGTATGGTATATAATTTGACAGTCAGGTCATATGAAGGATATTTGTGTATACAAATTTCTTGAAGTTGGATATGGACTTATACGAAAAATTTAAGTTCGGTTTCCGTAATGTTCGAACACTTGTTTATTTTCAAGAAGCAGGAGAGGGAAAGAGAATTTCCTGACAGAACACCTTCTTAAAGATGAAAGTGAGAGAGAGAAAAACGCTGAGAAAATAAATAAAATGGAAATGCTATCCAAATTCCGTCTGTTCTACTAATGCAATCGAAGTGGTGCTACAGTATAAATCAGTACGGTACGAACCTGAGAGTCTTAAAATTTAACTAGATCCGCACTTACCTAGTGGAAATAGTGTGGATAAGCAAGAAAGGAGCATTTCTTGGTCAGCTAATCATACTTTTCTGGTTCAAACAGTACGGTAGAGGCAGTAAGGAAAGCTATTACAGTCGGACTTCTTTTTCGGTACATTCCGTGAGATTCGGAGGTTTTCCTATCTTCGCTTCCGCCGAGCTGATTCTGATTAAATTATACCCATCAATAGCATTTTCTACGCTGATCACGAATTTCACATTCACGTGTGGTTAGAACGTCGCAGTAGTGCGCTAGAGGAGCTGCGCGCATTTTGGCGAATAATAAAAAATTTAAATTATAACTAACAAAACATTGTGCACCTTTTTCTTATATAATATATACAGTCGATAATAAAAAACTGTAGTTTAACAAGCATCTTTAACATACTACATTTATATCCTATTTCTCTTTTCTTTTTCACTTTTCTCCTGCTAGACAATTCCTACTTAGTATAAGATTACGTAATTTAAAACGACTGATCT